GAAGTAACTCATCAAACCAAGGTCGGTCATCTCAAAGGTCTTCATCATGTCTTCTTTGAACTCCTTTATCATCTTAGTATTGTTTCCCGTGTAGATAAGGTCATCTACATATAGAGAGAGTAAGAGAGTGTACTGACCTTGAGACTTGATGTATAGTGTGGGCTCACTCTTGCTTCTCTTAAATCCTTGATCCATGAAATATTGATCGATTCTGCTATACCATGCTCGAGGAGCTTGCTTCAAACCGTATATCGCTTTTCTTAGTCTTAACACTTTGCTCTCTTCGCCTTCAGATATGAATCCTTGTGGCTGCTCCACATAGATCTCTTCTTCAAGTACACCATTGAGGAAGGCAGATTTAACATCCAGTTGATGTATACTCCATCCTTTTTGTGCCGCAAGAGCTATTAGAGCTCTAATGGTATCAAGACGAGCTACTGGTGCAAATGTCTCATTGTAGTCAATCCCAGGTCGTTGTGAGTAACCCTTAGCTACTAGTCTCGCCTTATGTTTCTGTATGGTGCCATCAGGATTGAGCTTTGTCTTATAGACCCACTTAACCCCAATGATATATTTTCCATGGGGACGATTTACTAACTCCCATGTGTTATTTTTCTCGATCATCTTTATCTCTTCTTCCATTGCCTTGACCCATACTTCAAGCTTTGATGCTTCTTCAAAGCTTCCAGGTTCGAGTATGGCCATGTTGCAGGTTTCATATATGTCTCTCAAAGATCTTACTCGTCTTGGAGTAGACTCTGGTGATGATAGTTCTTGAACTTGTTGTTGTGGTGAAGGTGAAGAAGGTTCACCTAGGACTTCTTCCTCAGCTTCTTCTTGAGGTAGTTGAGTGGGTATAAGAACATTCTTCTCCACTTTTTCTTCATCCCAATTCCAAGAAGCATTCTCATCAACTTCAACATCTCGACTGATGATGATTTTTTTTGTTTGCAAGTTATATACACGATAGCCTTTAGATATTGTGTTATACCCCAAGAAGATACCTCGTATAGTCTTGTCTTCAAGCTTATGCCTCTTCAGGGTCTGGAATATGAATGTAGCATATAGATCCAAAGATCCTTAGGTGCTTTGCTGATGGCTTCTTCCTGTTCCAAGCCTCAATTGGAGTCTTATCTTGTACAGATTTAGTTGGACATCTGTTGAGTAAGTAAACAACAGTGTAGACTGCTTCAGCCCAGAATGTGTTAGGTAGTCGCTTCTCTTTGAGCATCGATCTAGCCATCTCCATAACTGTGCGATTCTTTCTCTCAAACACACCATTTTGCTGAGGAGAATATGCGACTGTAAGTTGTCGCTCTATGCCCTCATCCTCACAAAATCTATCAAACTCGCGGGATGTGTACTCTTTGCCGCGATCACTTCTTAGTACTTTTATCTGCTTTCCACTTTGATTTTCAACAAGGGCCTTGAACCTTTTGAATACTCCAAAAACTTCTGATTTTTCTTTCAAGAAATAGACCCATGTCATTCTAGAGAAGTCATCAATGAAGAGTATGAAGTACCTGTTGTTCTCGTGTGATGGCGTCCTCATCGGTCCACAGACGTCAGTATGTATCAGCTCCAACAGATCTTTTGCTCTCCATGCTCCGCTTGTTGAGAATGGAAATCGGTGTTGCTTACCAAGGAGACATCCTTCACACATTTCATTGTTATCCTTTATGCTTGGAAGATCTCTCATCATGTTCTTATCATGTAACAACTTCAAGGCATGTGTGTTGAAGTGGCCAAATCTTCGATGCCAAAGCCATGAATCATCAACTTGTACCTTCATGGCAATGTTAGTTGTATATTTTAAATTTAGCGAGAAGCTTCTATTGCTCTTATTCATCTTCACTTCGGCTATCTCGACCCTTTTATTCTTGTTGTCTAAGATTTTGCATACACCTCCTTCAAAGTGAAGTGTGTAGCCTCTCTCCATCATTTGCCCAATGCTTAGAAGATTTTCTTTTAGGCTGGGAACTAGTAAGACATCATGGATGAGTCGCGTACCTTTATCTGTCTCTACCACGACGGTGCCTTTTCCTTTTGACTCAACCACACTTCCATTTCCTAGTCGAACTTTGATTTTGACTGACTCATCAATGCTTTTGAAAATAGTTTCATCCTTGGCCATGTGATTGCTACATCCACTATCCAAGTACCAACTTCCTCCTTTTTCTTTGATTGATTCTTGAGTGGCATAGAACATACATTGTTCTTGATCATGCTCCTCTGCGATATTAGCTTGATGCCTATTTTTGTTGCGACAGTGTTTCTCTATGTGCCCGAATTTCTTGCAATGATTGCATTGTGGCATATTACGGTACCAATAACTTTTCTCCGCGTGGCCTAGTCGTTTGCATATATTGCATGGAATATTTTTATCTGGATTGTTCTTTTGGAAATTTCTAGGAACTTCTCTTCTTTTGGAAGTTTCACCATAATTTTTCTTTCCTCCATTTTCTTTATTTTGGGACTTAAATTTGAGCTTTGACTGAAAGGCATTTTCAAGTGTATCTTCTTTATGCCTATGTAGTCTTTGCTCATATGCTTCAAGAGAGCCCACTAGTTCTGTCACTGATAGAGTAGACAGATCTTTGGTTTCCTCTATTGTTGTCACGATTGGGTCAAATTTTGGGGGCATAGTAATTAGAATTTTCTCAACAATTTTCTTGTCAAGAATATCCTCCCCAAAAGCTCTCATTTGATTAACTATTTCTTTAACTTTAGAATAGTAATCTTTAACTGTCTCAGACTCCTTCATCTTCAATAGTTCAAAATCTCTTCTTAGAGATTAAAGTTTGACAGCACGTACCTTGTCATTTCCTTGAAACTCCTCCTGCAACGTCTTCCACGCTTCTTTTGCAGTCTTAGCTCCCATAATTCTTGGAAAAATTGCATCAGTCACCGCTTGTTGCAAGGTGAACAATGTCTTTGAATTTTTCTGTTTATTTTTCTTCAACTCTTTTTCTTGAGCTGCATTTAGAGCTGAAGTATCTATGGGAGCGATGAAGCCTTCTTCTACTATGTCCCATAAATCTTGAGATGAAAAATATGTCTCCATTTTAACACGCCAGAAATCATAATTTTCACCATTGAAAATAGGGACACAAATAGTTGATGATTGAGTAGTGTTATCCATGGCTTAGAAAAAATATTGTAGTGGGTTAATAGTATAAGGGAAATATTTTGAAGTAGTTTGGAGGATTTTGAAATGGTAGGTATTAGTATAACTACGCCCAATGTATGACCGAACGTAGCTCTGATGCCACTGTTAGAAATTGTTTAGATGATAGTCGGTAGAAGATAGTTTTAGAGAGTAGTTTAGAAAGAAGGTTTTTTGATTAATTTCTTGGATGATTGTTTACAATGTAGCAAATGCCTATTTATAGGCTCAAGTCACCAACCTTTCAATAGTGGTGAATATTCTAGAGTTCTCATGATAGGTTACTATCATGATAAATCTAGATTTTTCTATCTTTGCCATATACTTATATATCTAGATTATTCTACCATATTCATACACCTTATAGTTTCTAGGATGTTCTATATTTTATTACATATTATATTTAAGAACTTTCTAGAAATTTGTAGCAAATTTAACAATGAATATGAAAAAAAAAACTCTAAAGATCAAAGACAACTTAAATCAGAGATGTGGAGATTGAAGAGAGACAATGGAGATCAATGAGAGAGAAACCATGCATACCTTACGAAAATGTGAGATCGAGAATGAGAATTAGATCTAAATAGAGAGAGAAACTGAAATCTGGAGCGAGATCCAAATTGAAAGGAAATGAGATCGAGAAAAAGATCGAGAGTGGGAGCAAAATCCAAATCGAGACAGAAGCAAGATCAGGAGAGAGACCCTGAGAGAATGCATAACCTATATCGTGAGTGAGAGGGTAGACTCAAAGTGTTTCAAAGTGTTTCATTTTTAGGGACGTGGTAATTAAAATTTACGAATCCGAAAAAAAAAATATTTGACATGAGACATAGAAACTAATGGAAGGAACCACGTTTAAGTACGAAAATTTTTTAAAATACCATTATTTAAAAAAAAAATTAAATGATTAAAATTAAAAATTAACATATTTATATAAATTAAAAACATATTTAATCTAAATAAGAAAAAGTAAATTCAAGCATATAAATGTTTTTGCTGAGTCATTTTCTCCCGAGTTAAAACGACATAATCTTCAGATTGCAAAAAATTACTTATGCAAAAATACTATTAAAACGAAAGACTTTATTTAATCGGACAGGGTGCTTCATGATGCAATGATTCGTATCGTATCTGATTGTGTGGAATTTCTTGACGTGCCACACAACAACTATTGATATTGTTTGTTGTTTTGAGAAACACAACTAATCCACTAATTAATTAATTAATTTAATCAATCAATTATTAGCATAAACTAATTATCAAAAATAAAAATTAGCATAAACCATTGAAGAAAAAAGGAGAAGGAAAAGGAAGAGGGTGAATGTGGTTCCCAGAAACCATTTCAATATTCTTCACATTTCCCCTTCCTCCAATTTTCCCTCTTTTTTTCATTACAAACAATTCTTTCTTCATTAACCTAACCACATAAATTCATGTATCATCATCACATTCTTCAATTCATACCAATTATTTTTATTCATTCTCCTTTTTCTTTCTCAAATGTGTTTCCTTGTTTTTAGCAATTCCACACCTTCTTAATGCATAATATATTGGTACATTTTGTGTGTTTATTATCTTTTATTGGATCAAATTCTAGTGCAGCATTTTTGAATTTCAGGATAAGTTTAATTACATTCAGATTTTGATATTTTCAGGGTGGTGATTCGATTTGCAGGCTACCTGTTTGATGTTTTTCCCTTTCTTTCCCTTCTTTACGTTTAAAATCGGATTTATCTGATTGGTGTAAGAAGGGAAAGAAAGCAGAATTTAAAGGCTAACCTAGTTTTAATTTTTTGAAAATTAATCAATTGGTTGATATTTTTGATAATTCCAAATGGCTGCCATATCTGGTGTTGTTTCCCGCCAAGTTCTGCCTGCTTGTGGTACTCTTTGTTTCTTTTGCCCTTCTTTGAGGGCTAGGTCCAGACAACCTGTCAAGAGGTACAAGAAGCTCATTGCTGACATTTTCCCTCGTAATCAGGTCTGTGTTTTCTGTTTTCTGTTTGATTTCCTTTTCGGCCGGTTCAATATCTCTTTAGTCATGTCACATTGCATATGTATAATCGAATTTGTTTTCTAACACAGACATCTAACTTTAAATGTAAAGTAATCACAACTGTTGACAAGAAAATCAATGTATATCTTTGAATATATTCATGATTTGTTCTGCATGTGTACATCACATCAATCATTGATTTTATTATCAACTGTTGAGGGAGATTACTTAACTTTACTCTCTAAAGCGAGTTAAGATTTAGAAGAGCCAAATTCATGTAATGTAGCCAATTAGCCATCTTGAATGAAGTAATTACATGTAATAAATTTTAACTTTTTGTGGATTGATGTTAATTGTGGTAAGTAAGTTAGTGAAGTTGAAGGTAGGTAGATATTCCTATTTATGTGCTGCATATGCTATTAATGCCTCCATGTAGCTAAACAATGAAAGCTTGGTATTTTTATATATTAACTGAAAGATCTAATTTTACATGATGGTGACCTATAGGTTTATGTGGCACATAAAATTAAACAAGCGATATGCATTGTTTCTTTAATTGACTTTTTTTTATTAGTTTTGTACTTGTTTGTACGTATGTCTCATGCTAGCTGTATTGATTTTCTTTTTATTTTGTTAACGAGGTGACACAGGAAGATGAGCCAAATGATAGGGCAATAGGAAAACTTTGTGATTATGCTGCCAAAAATCCTTTACGCATCCCAAAGGTATGAAATATTTTAACAAAAAGAAGAAGCTTGTTGGTCATTAAAACTATTTTATATATATATATATATATATATATATATATATATATATATATATATATATATATATATATATATATATATATATATATATATATATATATATATATATATATATATATATATATATATATATATATATATATATATATATATATATATTCAACAATAGTAGAGAAGTAATGCAAACACTTGGGATTATGAAATAAAGTATGTTTCTTACTTTGAACTGACATGTGGTAATCATAATGTCTTTCTATTATTCCCACTAAAAAATTGTTCTCGTCAATTGTACAATTCTCTTAGAATTATGAGATATTTTTAAAAAGACCTTCCCGAGAAATTATGAAAGGGAAATGCTTTCTACTACGAAGTAACAGACACTTTCATTGGCTTACTTTTACACCTATCCACCCACGATAGAGAGAAGTAATGCTATTTTGTCTTTTTAAGTAATCCTTGTATATCTTCTTGTGGTTTGTTACAAAATGTGTTCTTAACATTTAGCATCACTCTCATAAATAATATTTTTATACCCTTTCATTTGGATATGTATCATTCTTTTGTTTCTCTATTCTTTTTTACAGGAATTGGATGATAACATTTTGTTTTGATTACTTTATTATGAAACTCTCTAGTTTCTAAATGCTTAAAGGTTGTTTGAATGCTCACTAAGTTGTGTAATTGGTGATCAGATTGCTAATGCCCTTGAGCAAAGGTGTTACAAAGAGCTACGGAATGAGAACATTCGCTCAACAAAAATTGTCATGTGTATCTACAAGAAATTTCTGTTTTCTTGTAAAGAACAAATGTGAGTTCATATCTATCTTATTTTATGCTTGTATTGGATGGCTTTATACATGACTGTTAAAATATCCATACAGTTAAAAGCTGTTAATAATACACGATGTTCTTTTTTTTTTTTTGGTTAAATTCGTGGAATTTAAACACTTAAAACATGTGGTGCATTTATTGTTTCTATGTTTGTTGATAGGCCATTGTTTGCAAGTAGCTTACTAACTATTATCCAAACCCTGCTGGATCAAACACGGCAGGATGACATGAGAGTTATTGGATGTAACGTTCTTTTTGATTTTTTAAATAATCAGGTTTGTTTCACTTCTTGTACTGCTGATACAAGTTTTGATTTAAGTGAACCAACAATATAAAATAACAGCTGAAATTTCTCGTAATCCTTCAAAATTTTGACCAGAACAATACTTGAGTTAGATACATTTAAAATTTTGCAGGTTGATGGAAGTTACCTATTCAGCTTAGAAGGTGTTATTCCGAAGCTCTGTCAATTATCTCAAGAAACTGGGGAGGATGAAAGGGCTAGAATTTGTCGTTCAGCTGGTTTGAAAGCTCTTTCATCAATGGTATTTATTTAATGATTCCACCATTGTCATTACTCATTAACATTTAGATAAGATCTTGAACAACAACGTGTTGCACATTTGTTAGGAATCAAATGAGCTTCATGATCATGCTTGTACAACAAGAATTGGAGTTTTTTCCTTTTAATATTTTCTTTATGAAGTCCAAATACACTTAGATTATATTTCCAATTTTATCTTAAGTTGTCCAATAAGTTTGTGATCTTGTATAAATTGTCCAATAATTTTATCTTATATAAATATTGACCATGTCATTAATTTAACTCCTTTATTCTAGGGTAGTATAATCTGTATACATATTCTTCAGAATTAATTCAACTAATTTTGCTCTGTAGGTTCGGTTTATGGGGGAACACTCTCACATATCAGTTGAGTTTGATAATGTAAGTAGATTATTTGCTTCTTTAATGTTATGACTACTTAGTTTTCTGATTTTTCAAATATCTGCTTAGAGTAAAGTTTATGCCTTTTCTTTATAGAGAGAATATATATGTAGTTACAGAAAATGGTGGACATAGTATATTGTGTGATCTGCCTATTTTTCTCCAAATACTTCTAATTACAATACAAGTGTGCCTCAGAATGAAATGGTAATGGTAATGGATAACATGTGGGTGATAAATAATTTATTAACTTGTAATCCACTACTTTGTTTAACCTGCACGTGAAATGCTACAACATCATGTTGGAACTTGTATCAATCAATATCAAAGCTATATATGACAAATCAATGTTAGGAATCTAGAGCTCCTATTGCATTCGATGGAATTATACAGGCTAAAATTTGTAATATCCCTTCTATAAGTCAATCTCTATCAAATTGACAAAATTTCATACTATTTTTTCATCATGTATTAGCTTTATAAAAGTGAGGGACTTTTACTTGCGACTTTTATTGTATCCTCATATAATATATATTTGCTTTGATAAAAACCATCGATTTGCATCATGTCTGCGATCTCTCATATCAGCTTATTATACATTGTTTCATTTCTTGCTAGGGAAGTCTAGTGTGGCTGACTTTTACTTGCGAGTTTTATTGTAACCTCATATGATATATATTGGTTTTGATAAAAACCATCAAATATATTGTTTGATCTATTCTGAAAATTTCTACTGCAATTTAGATTGTTTCAGCTGTCTTGGAAAACTATGAAGTTCCTAAGGAAAACTCAGCCAGTCTTGATCATGAGGAAGAAGGTAATGAGACTAAGTTGGATCACGACACCGCCAATGAGGGTCAAATCTCTCCTTTGCTAGATGTCAAAAAGAGAAACCCATCTTGGAGTAAAGTTGTTAACGACAAAGGCGAAGTAAATTTTGCAATGTAATTGCTTTCATCAGCAGAAAATCTTTGAAATGTATTGTCATCTATTTATTTCATTAACTTTCATTGTTTATGTTTCATAAACCAATGCAGGGAAGATGACGGGAAACCTTCTTTTTGGTCCGGGGTTTGCCTACATAGTATGGCCAATTTAGCCAAGGAAGGGACTACTATACGTCGTGTAATGGAATCTTTGTTCCGGTACTTCGATAACGGAAATTTGTGGTCTATAAACCATGGTCTTGCTTTTTCTGTGTTGAAGGACATACTATTTTTGATGGATGATTCTGGTATACTATTTTTCTTGCTTGACCATAAACTCTCTTATGTCACATAATCATTAGTTAATTACTCCAAGTTTTCTCTATCATTTTTCTTTCATCTGATTGCTGCAGAGAAAAACACACATGTATTGCTGTCAATGTTAATTAAGCATCTAGATCATAAATCTGTTCTTAAAGAACCCAACATGCAGCTGGACATTGTTGAGGTGGTTACTTCATTGGCTCAATATGCAAAGGTCCAACCTTCTGTATCAATAATTGGTGCAGTAAGCGACATGATGAGACATTTGCGGAAGACCATACATTGTTTCCTAGATAACTCAAATCTGGAGACTGATGTAATCAATTGGAATAAGGATTTCAGAGAAGTTGTGGATAAATGCCTTGTTCAGTTAGTAAATAAGGTACCTCACTCTTCCCATAACTTCTAATCAACTTTATGTCTAAGCCTTCACAATACTTGAAGTATTTAATGGTTTGTCGGTGTTATACTGTTTTTCAAACATAGATGAATGTTGTTATATATATACACAACTTATCAATATTTATTAGATTTTCCATAAGGGTAAAAGGAAAAGTATAAGCTGCTACTCATAAACAGGTTGGAGAAGCAGACCCAATTATTGACGTTATGGCTGTGATGTTAGAGAATATCTCAACAATTACAATGACATCCCGCACCACGGTCTATGCTGTCTATCGGACGGCTCAAATTGTAGCCACCTTACAAAACCTGTCTTATCAGAAAAAGGCAAGGATTGTATATCCATGCTTTAATTCTTTCCTCTTTGGTTTGTGGCTTAAAGTTTCATAGATAAATTTGATTCTAAAAGTAACTATTTTTTTCCTTAGGCATTCCCTGAGGCATTGTTTCACCAACTGCTTTTGGCTATGGTCCATCCAGATCATGAGACACGAGTGGTAGCTCACCGTATTTTTTCTGTCGTTCTTGTGCCAACTGCTTCCAATCCCAAAGTAATGGGTGTTCCACGAACACTTTCGAGAGCAGTCTCTTTTTTCACTTCTTCAGCTTCTATATTTGAGAAATTAAGACTGGAGAAACGTTCTTCAAGTGTAAGATTAAGTCAGTATAACAAAGAAAATGTTATTGGAGAGATTGAACCAGCTAGTAGCAATGTTGGCATCATAAACAGATTGAAGTCAAGCCATAGTCGGTTTTCTAGTGTGAATAACCCTCCTCTAAATAATAAAATGGACGAAATTGCTGCAAACAGTGATAAACAGAACTTGGTGAGTCTTGCATTTGAGTATACATTACAGATATGATGTTATCATGATTAAACTCAACTCTAACCACAGGATTCTGTTCTTACGTTAGCTTGAATTGGATGTTATCATGATTAACTTTACTGATGGTCTTCTTTTCACTTGAGAACAGGATGTTGTTGCGCTGAAGCTGAGTAGACATCAGATAAACCGATTGGTATCATCAATTTGGGCACAGTCTGTATCTCCTGAAAATATGCCTGTAAACTATGAAGCAATTGCTCTTACATACAGCTTGGTGTTGCTTGTTTCTAGAGCTAAGGTAATAACTGAATTCATGATTATGCTATATCTTCTTATATGATCTGAAAATAATTTTTAAAAGGCTTCTTCTCCTTGTATGGTGCTACTTTTATGTTTACTTTTTCATGATAATATGTGATACTTGCAATTTATTTACAATATATTTTATGCTTGACGTTTGAATATTTCAATTTTCAACTTTTCTCATAACACGGAAAACCTGGGGGAAACGGGGACAAGCCAATAATCAGGATTAGTTGTACTTGTACAATGTAGTCAGCATTTTACAGCTTCCAAAGTGGTGGACAAGCCAATAGTCACTTGTGATTTAACGGAACTAGGTTAGCTGTAGCATGTTTTGTGCAGTTGTTACCGACTGGTTTGATGTAACGTTATTACTTGTATAATTTTACTACTATATTTCCCTATAAACTATAATGGTACCGTGGAGTTCATATTGTGCTTGTGAATGTATTATGGAACATTAATGTTTGTGATGTTACTTATAATGTTAATTTTAAACTATTCTTGCGAAGATCTAGTAAGTCTGTTTGCATTGTTCAGGGATCATACTGCTGACATAAAGATAAGGTTTAAGGCTGTCTACAGCTGTACTTTTCTTTTAAATAACTTTCCAAATTTATTTTGTCATTGCAGAGTTCTTTTCATGAGTTAATAGTTCGGACTTTTCAGCTTTCATTTTCTCTATGGAATATTTCTCTTAAAGAAGGTGAGCTTTCAGTTATGATAAACTTAAATTTGATTTTCCTTTGCACTGAATCTAGTTTGATAGGTAGGCACTATTGATACATGATGTGTATTGGTAGGAAATAAAAATTTCAGCTTAAAATTTAGGTTTAAAGTTAGACTAAAAGATTATTTGTTAGCGAAAGCTATTAAATGCCGATTTTGAGCCGCAATAATCTAGATAGTAGCCGCCCCACCATATTTGTAAGGAAGAAAGGGTTTTTGAGGAAGATGGTTAGGGCTATTAGTAAAAAAAAAGATGGTTAGGGCTATTAGTAAAAAAGAGAAAAGATGCAAAAGCTCCTTGGGTTATCTTGAGTTTGTCCATTGTGATTGGAAGATTTCTTGGTAAATTTCTGAAGAAAGAGGGACTTCTGATGAATTACACATTGTTTCCCAAGCAGGTCTTGCCAAAGAAACTACCATTTCAAAAATATTCTATATATCCATTTTACTAGAAACCAGATACATTTCTATTAGGAATGGATGTGAAACAAATACCAAGATAGTACAAACTTACTGTAATGTTGGCATATCATTCCTTTCAGCTCTTATTTCCTACTATTTTTGTAGGGCCATTGCCACCTTCTCGTCGGAGATCACTTTATATATTGGCAGTTTCAATGATTATGTTTTCTTCAAAAACATACAACATTGTCCCTCTTGTCCAAAGTACCAAGGCAGTGCTTACAGAGAGACAGGTAAGACATTTATGAAATTTCCTGCAACGTTATGCCTCATAGTAAGCCAATTATCAATGTTGATTTATAGGGATAATATATAAAGAAAATATATACATATATGTGTTAACAACATATGTGATGTCCAGATCAAGCAATCAAATGAATAGATAGGGCACTGATTAAGGAATAAAAATTAAAAATTGTTCATTAGAAAGCAACACCTTAAATAAGGCGCTGGATAACATTTGTTGTTAACTTCAAAGATGTGATCTCGGATTCTTAATTTTTTTTCTAACCAAATAAAGTGCAAAAAAACAAAAAAATGAAGGACCACAATGATCCTGGATTCTCGTTTAGGGGATTATTGGAAATAAAGCAACTTATAACGCCTTAGTTTTTACATTCTGGAATCAGGTTGACCCCTTCCTTCATTTGGTTGAAGACAAATTGCAAGCTGTCAGCTTTACACCTGACAATCTGACCATCAGCTATGGATCCAAAGAAGATGATGAAAGGGCCACACACACACTTTTGGAATTATTTTCTTCTATACATCAAATGCAGGAATGCTTTGCATCTGAAATCATCAGAAGCTTGGACATTTTTTCAAAAGTAAAGCTCTTGCCTCTTGTATACTACTACGCCTTCAATTGTCACGGGGTAAAATATATTCACACTTCTCAATATTTGAACCTTTGGTTTTTTGTACAGGCTGAATTACTGTCAATAAGGGAGAAGCTGCTAGAAGAATTTTCACCGGATGATACGTGTAAGATTGGATCTCAGTTGAACATGAAAATTCCCAGAAAGGTGTGTCATGTGGATTTCTGAAAGATGGATTTTGTTCCAAAATAATTAACTTTGTTCTGATCTTTTTCTTTTTTTTGTTTGTTTATAATTCCAATTTCTGACAGATGTTGTTACTTTCACATTTTTCAGGATACTTCAGTAGTTGATGATGATTTTATTTATGAACTATTTGAAAGTCAGTTAAAACAAACTCCAAGGTTGTCCACGGAGGTCCCTAATCTTTTGAGTGCCAATCAACTTTTAGAATTAGTATGTGACACCACTTTTGCCCTCATACATTTGTGTTCATTGGATAGCATTATAAGCTCTTCTCTTATCAATGACCTGAAATTTGGCCCCACACTTTTGAGCGCAGGTTTTTGACCCATCTGATCCCGCTGGAAGGGTTTCTGTATCGACTGCATTTGATACGCCTTACAAGGATATGGCTGATAACTGCGAGGTACTTATGATGGGAAAGAACAAAATGTCTAGATTGGTGAGTACCGCCATTCAGACACAAGAAAGTTCAGCAAACTCCACTTTACCAACTCAAGAAAATGAAACGAAAAACACAGATTCATCTCCCCATGAGGATCTCCCGAAGGTACTTCCTTGCTTTTGTATCCACATTAGTAAACATATATGCTTACATTTAGATATATAACATGCCTTTCTATTATAGCCAACAACTTTATAACACTATTATTATTTACATATACAACTTTAAAATGGAATATCTAATCAAATTATATATAACATGTAGGTGGACAATTCTTTGCTTGATGATAATACTTTTGTGGAATTGTACCAACCAACTTCTACCCCTCCTCCATTGTTTTGTGAAGCAGATTATCAAAACCAGCCTCAGTTTTTCCAACTACCAACAGCAAGTCCCTTTGATAACTTTCTGAAAGCCGCCGGTTGTTAATCCTGTAGATGAATCAAATTACAAGTTCTACGGGGTACTTAAGAAATCATAATGAGTAAAGCAGTAAAGGCTTCTAAGTACTGTAACTTCACTGGTGCTAAGGTCAAGCTATGTCATATATCTGAAAAATATTTTAGTGCTGCTGTTTTGATCACAATGGGTTGTGTTTCTGAATTTTTTGATATTCGATTCTTTATTATTTTTTCACATAACCTTGTATATGATGTGGCCTAGAAAGGCTTCATGCTATGCTTTCATTGTAAATTATAATATTCTTTTGACATTCTATTTGTGTGTACATATACAGAAACTGCAGGTCTAATACATATAGAAGAAATTTAGATGGTGCTCCACAGTGAAATGCTCATCTTTCATTCAATATTAATTTGAAATCACATTATTTAAATCGTTATACACTTACTTTTCACCATTGATAACGTCTCACTGAAGGTTCTAGAAAGCTAAAAATTATTTATAGAAGCATACTTGCCAATAAACATGACAAAGTAATTTAGTGTCACACCAAACCGTTGATTGGGAGTTTGGAGGGGAGGGGAAGAGGAGGGAAGAGAAGTTTCGAAAACAATTTTTTTTTTAAAATGATTTTTTATATATAATAATAAAAGTTTTTTTAACTTTCAGAATACTATAACAACATAAAAAAATATTTGGAAAATTTAGGTCCTTCAAAATTTGTATGTTGTTGATAAAAGTTGTATACTGTTGTTGATTTAGTTTTTATTGTTATATGTTGTATTTTGTTTAAGCTGTGTTGTTGTTAATAAAAGTAGGGTGTTGTTGATGATTTAGTTTTTATTGCTATATGTTGTATGTTGTTTAAGATATGTTATTGCTAATATAAGTTGTATGTTTTGGTAATTTAACTTTTGTTGATATATGTTGTATGTTGTTGATAAATGTTGTATGTTTTTGTTGATTTAAAATTTATTGTTATATGTTTATTTTGTTTAAGGTGTGTTGTTGTTGATAAAAGTTGGATGTTGTTGAAGATTTAGTTTTTATTGATATATGTTGTATGTTGCTTAAGATATGTTGTTTTTGTTGATAAAAGTTGTATGTTGTTGATAATTTTGTGTTTGTTGATATATATCGTATGTTGTTTAAGGTATGTTGTTGATAAAATTGTATGTTGTTGATTTAGTTTTTATTGTTATATGTTGTATTTTGTTTAAGGTGTGTTGTTGTTGATGATTTAGTTTTTGTTAATATATGTTGTGGATGATGATATATATGTTGTATGTTGTTGTTGATAAAAGTTGATGTTGTTGATGATGATTTATATGTTGTGTGTTGTTGATTTTTAATGATATACCTTGTAAATTGAAGCTTTTACTATGTTAAACTAACACTTCTATTAGATGAATTTATTATGTCATATGTGGTTTGAGTGTTTGACTAACCCGTCTTTAACTAAATAAGATTTCTAATTGAGTTAGAAATTTATAATATAAGTTATATTAGAAAACAACTTACATTGATCAATGTTTTTTGAACTTTCTTCTTTCCATTCTACGTATCTCTCTCTCTCTCTTTGAGAGTTAGAATTTTGTTTAATGCTTGTAACTCTTCAATCAACAATTCCTTTTTACTAGTTCAATAAACTAGTAGAGAATGAAGTGTTGGTTGAAGAGTCACAAGTATTGAACATAATTCTAACATTCAAAAAGCGAGTGAGATATGGAGAATGAAGGGAAAATTTATAAAAATATTGATCATTGTAACTTGTTATTATACTATAACTTAATTTATCAAGTTATTAATTTCTATATCACATTGAAAGATTATATGTTTAGCGGGTAGTTGATAAAATAAAAATTCCACATTTTTTATAATAAACTCAAGAGATCATATCACCACGATTGAATGATAAAGTCGTAGTGAAAAGTTGTGCGTTAATCCTTTCATTATGGTTGGAAAGAACAATTATAGGGAAAAGTTGAGAAAACAACTAAAATGTAGTTCTAAGAATCGAAACTCAGATCTATAGCTTTTACTATTTTTACTACTGTTATTATTTAAAAGCTGCGGTGATAATTAAAGCGTTATTGTGTGCTATTGTGTTTTTATCACGGAGATTTATATATGGAATAAATAGAGCACTTATTACCACACTCTATTTTAGTATAATCTTTCACCAGTGATAATATCCTTCATACAACTGTGGTTAAATGTATTTTCCATAATAATGAATACTGCATTAATCACAATGTATCATTTCTTACACATTACAAATTTTCATTTACGATTTACAATTTCTATTTCTAATATTTGTTGCTACCATCTCTCTCAAAAAAACAGAATATCATTACTTTCTCTCTAAAAAAACATAAAAGTGAATATAAAAAATTTAGTAAAAAGAATTTAGAAGAAAAGAGAAAGATTTGTGCTATATACGCATTCTTCTTGGTTCATTCTCCGTTTCAACTTTTTGAGTCTTTATTCAATCCCTTAAAATAGAAGAGAGAACAAAAACAAAAGACAATATTTTTGAAAAAGAAATAGAAGAAACAACTATAAAGTAATTGCACAGATTTGTAAAATCTACCATATCGTTTTACTGTTAAAATCAGAACGTACCGACTTGACGGTGGTTTCAACCTTCATCTGTGCTCTCTCTAGTATCTATTTATAGTAATTTGATTTTAACTATATATATTTTTTATCTAATTCTTAAAAGATATAATGTAAACTAAAAAATGTGAATTATGTTATTTAAAATAAATAAAAATAAAAGAAATGTGACTTTAACTGTATCGCAAAAAGAGGTCCTAGATAAATTTGTTAAAATAGAAAAGAGAAAAAAATGACAATATAGGTGATTGTTTATTGAATTTTTGTATTCTCACGTCTTTCGTCGTTGTAATCGAATTAGAAATGTCCCTAATATTCTTATAATCTATTCCTTGCTTTAAAAAAACAAAATAACAATCTAAACATGAAAGAAAATGTAAATAAAGAAAAATCATATAATGAATAAAATTATACTGATTTTTATAGTCACAATGAAGACGAAAATATAGACTCTTCAATTAAAAATATACATGACCCAAATCCATTGATCAATATTTATACACATTTGCAAAATTCGTTAGTAGAAAAAATTCAATTAAAATTATCGATATAGGTGAATTTTTAAGATATCTTTCTTCATCACTGTACATTTAAAAGTTGTCAAATGGAGAAAATCTTGAAAAACGATGGCTAATTTCTTCTCAAGACTTAAATAAAGCATTTTATTTTTGTTGCAAATTGTTTTAATAATATGATGATAGATTTAATTGAATCAATAGACACAAATCATATCATATTATTATTATTATTATTATTATTATTATTATTATTATTATTATTATTATTATTATTATTATTATTATTATTATTATTATTATTATTATTATTATTATTATTATGTTACATAGTAATTTGATCTGACATGATCAGAAGGGGATCGCTGGCCAGCCACACTCTGTTGGACTGTTGTCTGTTCACCGATTTTGAGAAGGGGGAGGGGGTATACCTGCAAGACACTCTGATGCCAAAGTAAGAGATATGACATAGTGACATCAAATATAGAAAAAGAGGTAGAGAATTGAATACCTGACCCTCTTGTGGAAGAGGGTATTTATAGAGAGACCCCAGCGTCGGGTCAACGATCATTTGAGATGGGCTGGATGGCCAGGCCCAACCCAAATGAATGCTAGGGCTTACGTGGCGTAGTGAAGGCCAGAACGTGGTCTTTGCTCTAGCCCAATTGTCCCGTGATCTCCGGAAAGTGGGTTTGACATGCTCTTTCGGAGGTAGGCAGTTGGTTGGTGACGTGTCCCCACGAAGGGGGGCACGCGGAGAACGTGTGGAAGATACGTTGTTCTGCCCGACGGGAGGAAGGTTCTGCCCGACGGGGGCTCTTGTGCTCGACGCAGATGGGATGTTGAGAAAGCTCATTGAAGGCTTTGAGAGCCATGTTGGGGTTTTCTCAAGTTGTTGTGTCATGTGGAAGAAGCCACAGTCAAAGGTGTGGCATCTAGGGTTTTCATCTGGTCAACCCTCAGTCATTTGTGAAACTAAAGGAGATTAAGACTCAATTCCAAGTCTATATGGTCATGGAATGTTGTGTTGAGATGCCTAAAATATCATTTCAAGATCAAATCAAGAAGAATTAAGAGTATGAGAAGTTACTAAATTAGGGTTCTCAGTGTAAAATCCCCTGTTTAGTGTCCAACTTCAAGACCATCTATCTCAAGATACAAGTCTCATCTCATCTTAACCCTAACATGAAACTTGTATAGCATGTTCGTAGCTTTCTTTTGAGTACTAGAAGTACTTCATCTGATTTCTAAAACTCAAGTTATGATGCTGGCAAGTTACAGGTCCTCAAATGAATGTAATTTTGGTCAACAAAAGTCAACCAACTTCCAAGCCATTTTTGACCTAGAAGGATGTTTCTCCTCACCTTGACCAAAACATGAAAGTTGTTCCTCATGGTATTAGCTTTCCAAAGAGTACTAGAAGTCCTTCATCTGATTTGTAGAACTCAAGTTATGTGGCTTACAAGGCAGGGGTATTTTGGGAAAGAAAGATTACAGGTCATTTTCATTATAGGTCCATTTCACCATTTTGCTTACTTCAAATGAAAATATTTCCAACATGAAACTTGCTCAAAATGGGTTCATTTATTCAACCAAACCTCAAGGAATCATTGTTATGGCTTGGATAGAAGATTGAATGAAGGAAGGTTCATGGAAAAGTCATTCAAAGCACAAAAATCAAATTAAATCATATTGTATCCATTTTGTGCAACTTTGTGCATATTTTGAGTGAAAATCACATTCTAAGAATAATGGCATTTTCAGAATTTGAGTTTGATGAATTTTGGTATGTCAATTTCAAGGTTGCTTCATCATGAAGGTACACATGCTACATTCACCATTAAGATCAAACAAGGGATCAATCCCAGCAATTGAGTACCCCTACTGAAGGAA